GGGGCGGAGGCGGCGGGCAGGCGGAGGTGTTACCAGCGCCCTCTGCAGCAGCGCCATCGCTTGCTTCTTCTCCTCCACCTCCAGCTTCAGCCGCATCACGGATGTGCTCACCTCGGACACAGACTCCAGGCACCCCAGTCCCTCCTCCGGCGCGAGTCCCTGAGGACACGGTGCATTTGAGGCAGGCCCGGTCCCCCAGGATGGACCCACTGCCCCGTCCCTGCCTAAGGTCCCCTCCACACCTGGGGGACAGAGGCTGGCCGGTCCTGCCCTGATCTCTCCATCTCGTCCAGGAAGCTCATGATGCTCTGCAGCTTGGCCTCCGAAAGCAGAGCCCCGTCCTCGGCAGGGCCAGTGGGCGCACTGAGCTTCCCAAATTTCTCCAGGTTGTCGGCGGTCAGGGAGCTGGCATCGTCCTCCTGAGGGGAGAGGCCACAGTACTGGGACTGTCAGGCAGCCAAGGACTCTGGGGTGGCCTTGCAAGAGCCCCTTAAGGACCCCCAGGGGAAAGGAGGGCAGGAGACAGGAAGGGAAGGCAGTTGGGCCTGATCTGGAAGAAAAGGCCCCTTGGTTGCTCAGACCCTCGCAAGGTGCTGCCTGTGGGTACCGCTGGCAGAGGCGGCGCCCACCCCCAAATTACTCTGAGGGTCCTATGCCTCAGCAAGCCATCAGAAAACTGGGGGGGGAGGTGGTCCCATAAGGCCCCATCTGGTCCCCACTACGCTCCCCTGGCCCTGCAGGGAACAACGCCAGGGCCCAGGGCTGGGTTGAGGGAGGGCGCCCACGGCCACCTCGTCGGTCCAGGCATATTTGTCCTTGTGATAGGCCCTGGGGCGGGGCAGCGGCTCAGGCTCCTCCTCCAGCAGCTTCAGCGTGTCCAGCAGCTCATCCAGGGTCGCCCTGGACTTAGCCCTATTCCCGGCGGGGCCCGCCGTCCCTGGAGCCTCACCAGCTGCATCCTGAGAGCTGGTGTCCTGCAGCGGATGGAGGGCAAGAGAAGCTGGTGAGGCCTTCAGAGAACAGGGGCGGGGGCACTCACAGACCCACCTCCAGAGAAATAAAGGGTGGCCAGGTAGGGCGTGTCCGGGCCTGGCCTCCCCACCCCTCTGTCTGATGACCTTGCTGTCCCCTAATCTCTGAGCGTCCAGCTTTCTCTGCAGGCTCGGGCATCGGTCCCACCCCACGGCATCACTGACAGCCCTGTGAGCCCCCATCTCTGGTAGAGAAACAAGACCCATCTTAGGAGGCCTTTTCTGGCGTGAGTGACCCCACGGCCACAAAAATGGCTGTGACCGAACCTGTAGCTTGTCCTCTGAGAACTGCCGGGGCTCTGGGGACGAACTGGGGGCAGGCTGGCGGGGTGCGTCTGGGCCTGTGGTAGGGAAGCCAGTCCCTGTGGAGCAGAACACATCTTGGGAAGGGGTCAGGCATAGTGGGCTTCACAGAGCAGAGGGGACGCTGGGGCGCCCCGCCCTTCCAAGTGAAAGGTCAGGAAGCATCTTCTGTGGAGCCGTGTCCAGCTCCAGAGGGGGTGGGGCGAGGGCAGAGGAGCAGGGCCTGGGCGTCTGCCACACAGCCGGGGTCCCTCCGCGGGGTGGAGGGAGAATGGGAGCCACCAACCGGTCAGCAGCCATAGGGGCCACAGCCATCCCTGAGGGGTGAGGGACGGGAGGCAGAGGGGGGCGGGGCAGGGCAGCCTCTGGGCTCTCCCCTCACCTGCGTTGTTAGCCTTGCAGGTCTGGGGAGTGGTGCCCCCCAGCCTCAGCGGTGGCTCCGGGGTGGGACGGGGCTCCCCTGGCTCCCGGGCCCCCTTCAGCATCCCAAGTTCAGCATCGCCCGACTTCTGGGCTCGCTTCTGCTGCAGCTCCTGCCGGGCGTGCCCTCTGAGCAGCCTCGTCCATAGGCAGCTTGGCCCCCGCCCTCCCAAGCCAAGCTGCCCGAGGCCAGTGTCCCGGGACCGGGGAGGGCAGCGGGCAGGGCCCCCCAGGGGTGCAGTCGTGCTCTAGGAAACAGGGGTTCTGCCTCAGCACTGGGCCCCTGTGCGGCTCGGCCGCCCCAAAACCTGAATGGCTGCTTGTCGGGCCTGGCGCGCCTTCTCCTCCCGGGCCTTCCTCCGGGCCGCCTCCTTCTGCCGGTGCAGGTCCAGCGGGCTCCCCTCCCTGAGCCTCTGCCGCTGCCCCTGCAGAAGCCACAGCCACGGCAGCTTGACTGGGAAGATGGGCGGCCGACCTAGATGTGGGCTCTCCAGGACACCCCCGCCACGCCTCTGCCCCACAGACAACAAGCCCCGCTCACAGGCAGCCGGCAGCAATTTGGGGCAGGGATGGCTCTGCATCACGGAGCAGGGGCCCGAACCAGAAACCTGCCCAGGCCTCTCAGCCGGGGTGGGCGGCCAGCATTCCCGACACCCAGGCCCTGCTGAGCGAGCGGCTCAGGGCGAGGAGGAAGCGGGTGCCCGGCAGGGTGGACACGGGTCATTCTGGTTTCAGTCCCATGGTCCCAGAAACGCCCTATACACGCCGGGAGCCCCGGTGCGGCGCGCATACCCACACTGACCTCTTGCTTGGACGCCAGCAGGCACTTCAGGCTGGCGGCTCCATCTCGGCGCTGCTGTGCCCGGTGCCGGTACCAGCGCTGGATGGTGATGGCGGCCTGGTTCACCTGGTGGATAAACCTGCCGGGACAGCAGACTCAGGACGGAGGCAGGCCCCACGCCGCCACGGACCAGGCAGCTGAGCGACAGCCTCTCCAGGTCCCCAGAGGGCCCAGCATGGCGGAGAAGCCAGCAGCCACATGCACAGCCCTCTACAGGTGGCCGACACTCCCGTATGCACAAACTGTTCGCACCTGCCAGAACCTGGAAGGAACCCCAAGACCCACCGCCTGCCTGTGACGAACACTATGTGTAGGTGGCAGACGCCACTCATGGACGCAAAAGGCCACAGGCCGTGTGCTCCGCTCATAGAGCATTCTAGAAAGGACAAAGCTATCAGAGGACAGATCGGGCTGGGGGTTGGGGGGACACTGGATAATAGGCTACGAGGGGACCTTGGGGGGTGACGGATGTTCTGCATCTTGTTATGTTGTATCTATAGAGCCAACTGCACACGTGTCAAAACTCACCCACTGTCCCTCTGAACGGGTGTGTTTCGTCGTGTGTAAACCCTCCTCAGCAAACCGGGTGAAACAAGAAGCCGTAGCTGTGGCCCTCAGGACCACACGGCTCGTCGGGCAAAGGTGCAAACGGAACACCCAGGACGTAGTCACCACAGGATGCGCGCACAGGACCCCTGCCCTCCAAAGTGCCCTCCACTGAGGGCAGCCGGCAGGTGCACAGAGCTGCCGCTCCGACCTCCCCCTGCCCCTCCCCATGCCCACCCATTTCCAGGATGTCGTCCCCCAGCTCTAAGGGGACAGCAGGTGGTGGCTGACCAGCCAGGTGGAGGCTATCAAGGCCTGCCCTCTGATCACTAAGCACTTCCTGACCAGGCGTGACGGCACGGGCCTGGGGCCACAGCTGGTCTCCCCGCGGCAAGCTTCAGGGGGCAGCCCCATAGGTTGGGGGTTTCTATATCCTCTCTCCACTTAACATTTTTTTAAACTAACAGTTTCACTGCAGTACAACTCACGCGCTATAAAATTCATCCCTTTTGACTACACAATTCAACGACTTCTGGTGAATTTATGGGGCCCCACGACTGGCCGTGAGATCCGTTTCCGAGCGTTTCCATCGCCCCCAAGAGCCCTCTTCTGCCGTCCCCGGGCCCCAGGCAGCCAGCACTCTGCTCTGTCCTTTGAGACTGGCCTTTCCTTGACGGTTTGGATAAACAGAATCGTACAACACGTGGTGTTTTCAGCCCCCGTATTCTAAACGACCACTAAGTGAAAATTACTGTCGCTGGAGCCTCTGGCCCACTCCCCGCCCCCAACCTGTGGTCACCTCTCAGCCTCCTCCTCCGTCACCTCCGTGCGTCTGAGCAGGCCCACGGCAGCCCCCGAGTTGTTCTGGGCCACGTGGGTGCTGCCGGCCAAGTTCTTCTGCGTCTTCCCGAGGCCACTGCCCTCGCCCTCGCCGGTGGCTGCCTTGATGAGATTGCTGAGTGGGACAGAGAAAGGCTCGTGGTGCCTGGCTCCTCTGGGCTCACGGTCCCAGGGGTCACTCTGCATGCGGACACAGGTCTGGAAGGGAGCGCCTCGGGACGTGAGGGGGCCACAAAGGCCTGCTCCCCATTCTGACTTGCTGGCCCATCCCCAGAGCTACCTATTCCCCACAGGGCCCATCCAGTGGCACCCAGGGTCTCAGGCTGTCCACACCAAAAAGGCGAAGGGATCTCAGGAGTCACAGGGCCCGGTGCCGGGGGTGCCTCAGGGACTGGCGGGCCAGCCCTGGGCGAGCACACTGGCTGGCGGGCACGGGGTGACGTGCGCATGGCTGCTCTGCGTGGCTTGGCCAAGCTCCACCGAGACCCTCCTGGGCTCTGGACTTGGTCAGGGGGCCCACAGCACGGGTGGCTGTGGCTTTCTCAGCAGGACCCCACCTGGTGACCCCGGGAGGCCTGGTCTGTGTTCCCACCCCACCCCACGCCCTTGCGGAGCCCCGCCTGGGGCCTGGGCCAGCGTATGCCGAGGCGGGAGCCAGAGCCTTACTTGAGGGAGGGCGCCGTGTGGTTGGAGCTCTTGGGGGGCGCCGTGTCCACGGGGGCGTAGCGGTTGTGCACCATGGTGGTGACACAGTTGCCCACAGCTCCCTTGTTGCTCCTGCGGGAAGAGACAGGACCAGAGTCAAGCCCTGGGGGGCGAGCTGCAGGTCGCGCTCAGCGGCACTGCTCGCCATGGTGTCAGCCAAGTGACCGTGCCGGCCCCCTGCATGGCCACTGCGTTGAACAGTGGGCCCCTTCCCAGGACCTGAGAAAGCTCCACCCAGCAGGGCCTGAGCTGCGAGCAGTGGAAACCATGACCCCTGACACTGGACGTGGGGAGGATGGCCACAGACCGGCTGATGGAGACAGGACTTCTCTGTGTCAGTTCAACGTGACAGGTGGAATGCACTGTCCTGTCTGCCCTGCTCGAATCCGCCGGAAGGGATAAAAATGGCATAAACAAGCGAAGACAAGTGGGGATGCAGGTGGGGACGGAGGCAGAGATGCGCAGAAGCTCTGGAGGATGAGACAGACGGGCCAGTGGGGAGCGATGCGCCGTGAGACAGGAAACCTGGGTGCTGCGGGGCTTGGAGCGAGGTGGCTTGTCTGCCCCCCACCCCGTGGAGGTGCAGGTAACGGAGGAGCTGGCTCTCCCGGAGCAGCAGCTGCACCCTGATGCCCTCCCCTGTGAGCACCGAGGGGTGCCGTCCAGGCGAAGCGGTCAGTGCACTGAGCCAGGCCTCCACCGCCTCTGGTCCCAGCTTGCCCCTGGGGAAACCGAGCACCTAGAGAAAAGCCCCAGACACCGACAGGTGGGGACCCCCAAGTACAGCAGCCTGGTCCCTGCCCAGCCACCCACAGACAACTTTTAGAGCCTCCCTCTTAGTTCTGAGAGCCAGGACGCCAGAACACGGAGGAGGAAAAGGCCAGTGAGCAGCATGGGGCGGAAACGAGGCCCGCGCGAAGTTCCTGGCTGTGCCGAGGGCGCTGACAGCGGCTCCGGGGGCACAGCTCTCATTGGCGGCGTTCGCCGGTTTCCACGGTGTGACATTCCCACCATGGCTGACTTCAGACATCGCGGAGAGCCCAGCTGGGGAGAGCGGAGGGCGGCAGCGTCCGCAAGGATGTGACAGCTGACCCAGGAACAAGACGAAGGAAGGGGTCGCTGGGGGACAAGAGGGGCTTTTGGCAGTGAGAGACGTGGGGGGACAGCTGAGTCGACCCATCGGATCCCAAAGCGAGAGAGAAAGAAAAGACGAGACGCCGCCGACCCGGCAGAAGCAACGCACGGTGCAAGCAACAGGAGCCAAGAGAGAGCGGGAAGGACGGGAGAAAGTCATCCAACAAGTGACAAGAGGACATTTCCTAGAAGTGAACCCCACTAGAAAGTCACCACTGCCTCACGCGGGGACGGCAAACGGACCACGTCGCAGGCCCCATGCTGTGAGATTTCACGGCAAAGGAGACGTCCAGAGTGCCTCCGGAGAGAAAAGCACAGCACGCAGAAGGACCAGGACGAGGCAGCGGCGGCGACAGCCCTCAGACGGCAGGGCCGCCTCCCAGACGGCAAGACAGGCCTCCCAGACGGCAGGGCCGCCTCCCAGACGGCAGGACAGGCCTCCCAGACGGCAGGACGGCCTCCCAGACGGCAGGACAGGCCCCCCAGACAGGACAGCCTCCCAGACGGCAGGACAGCCTCCCAGACGGCAGGGCCGCCTCCCGTGCGGAACTCCGCACCAGCCGAGCCAAGGCCAGTGTGAGTGTCGAGCGTTCTCAGGCACGTGGTCTGAAAAACTACAGCCCGTGTCCCTTCTCGGGACTGACTCTGTGGGGGGCTGGGCTCCACCGAAGGCAGAGGAAGCGAGGCCCACAGACAGGGGCCGCAAAGGGCTGACAATAGCACGTGGCCTGCGCAGGCTGCCAGCTGGGACCCAGGCGGGAGAAGACAGGGCCTCGTGGGGATTCCCCAGGGGAAGGTGATGGGCGGGGCACCTGCCGGCCTGGCTGTATGGACGGCCGTTCTGCCATCAGTCTGGGAGAAGTGGCCGGTACGCAGACAACCAAGTAAGAAATAAAGATCCTTCTTGATCCTGGGACAAGCAGCAGCGTGCCCCACATATCCGCGCTCCTCGCGCATGGCATTGCTCTAAGAGGTTCAGGCCTCGGTGCATCTGACCCTCCCGACTCTGGGGGCAACGCACCCAACAACCTCTTAGTATAAACAAGGCCCTGGAGGGTTAAACAACCTGCCCCAAGCCCCACAGAAAACAAAATGCTGAACCAGAACTCGGCACAGGCAGAGCCAGTGTGGGTCCCACGCGGGGGCACAACCCTACGAGACACTGAGCTGTGACGCGGCCCCACCCGGATGCGGGATGGGAGCAGGGTGGCTCGTGTGCAAGCTTGGGGGGCACGAGAGGGCAACCCCGTCTTCCACACCGAGTCCCTCTAAGACTGAGAAAGCAGCGAGCAGCGTGAGCGTACTTAGGCAAACGTTTTCTAGAAAACACTAGAAGAGCTGGCACGTGGCAGCTTCCGGGAGCAGGACTCGGGGAGGGCAGGAGGGGTGACGGGTTTGCCAGTTTTCGTCGTAAGTTTGTGGAGCGGCTCGACTTCAGCTGTGTGCGTGTGTCGCTCCGATAGAAATTAGTTTTTAATTTAATCCTGGCATTGAAACCCGGACTCCTCCCTGCGGGGGCCCCGGACGGCTGCAGAACCCTCTCGAACACGTCCGGCGATGGGAGTCCCGGCTGGCGCTCAGGCAAACGTGTCTCCTTGTCCCTCCCCCACCGTCCCCGTCGAGGGGGCCGAGAGCGAGGACCAGCTCTCCTCGCAGCCCGGGGCAGCACCGGGGCAGTGCTCTCCAGGGCCCCTGCCGTCCCAACAGTCCCCGGCCGCCAGGCCTGCCGGCCGAGGCAGAGCCTGCCGGACGCTCTCCGGACCCTGCCGTCTTGGCCGTCCCCTGGATGTGTTTCCTCCTGCCGCACCTCAGTGGGCGTGGCTGAGGCAGCCACTGCAGCCCAGACAATGACAGGCTCTCGGCTGACAGTGCGCAGCTGTGGCCCGAGGTCGCGTGTTCCTCACTCCCGGGACGCGGGAGCCGAGCCTCAAAGCTCAAGAACCTCCGCGCAGCCTTGTGGTGGCCCACGGCCCGTGCACACGCCACCTGGGCTCCCCCTGCGCCAGACACCACCTTGCAGCCTCCTCCCTAGGCCCTCGGGCAGAGAGCGCCGGCCATTCGCTCACTCGTTCGCCAGCTCCAAAGCACCCTGGTCTGGCCGCACACGAGACAGAGTCGCCCGCAGAGCCCTGGGTGGGTGGGGCCGTGCCCAGCACCTGCGGGGTCGCACCTGTTGTTGGCGGTGAAGCTGGGTGCCAGGGGTACGGTGCTCTCTCTCCTCCGTGGGCCCTCCGCTGTGCCGACGGTGCTGGGCCTCTGGGCACTGGGCGGCAAGGTGAAGGCCCCGGGCTGGCCATCCTGTCAGTGCCCACAGATGCCCCCTCGGCCTGTGACCCCTCCGCATGCACCGCTGACCGGAGCCCCCCACCCCATGGCCTTGCCCACAAATGGGGAGATGGAAGGGCGGGGGGGGCCCTAACGGTCCTCAGGTTGTGACGATGGGCTGACGCTGGTGTGCCCCTCCCCACCGGCCCCTCTGGCAGGGGCGGCAGGGCCGGGGAGGAGCCAGGTGTCGCGCCCGGTGCGCCACGCACACTCGGCCCCCTCTCTCACCAGGACGCTCCACGAGGCTCCCTTCTCGCTGCAGGCTCTGCTCAGACTGGCCGGCCGCCTTCTCCCGCCCGGGCTGCTCTCGAAGAGCGGCAGGAAGTCGGGGGACTCTGCTGGTCTGTGCCAGAGGGGACAGCAAGTGGAGACAGTCACTGAGCCTGGGAGGCCGACCCCAGGAACGCAGATGGGGACGTTTTATGAGGGGATGGGAAGGGCCAGGTCGCCATCAAGGAATTCCATTCCTGAGTCCTGAGCTTAAAATAACGTTTCTCAGTCCAGATCTGACCACGGCGCCTGGGAGAGGCGTCACGCGCCCTCCCGTGGCCACCCCGACACCACAGGAAAGCGCAGCAGACAGAGGAAGAGGAGCAGGCGGGGGACGGCGGCCTGCAGGTCCGCACCTCTACGTGCAGACAGGACAGGTCAAGGCTCGTCCTGCTGGTCCCACCCAGGCCTGGCCCCGTGGGAAGGTCACACTTCGGGTCCCACTGCCCAGCCAGTGCCCACACTGGTGAGGCCCGAAGGGCTGACAGAGGCAGCCCTGAGGATGCTGGGGCTCCGAGGGAGGGCCGGGGCTTACCTGAGGGGATCGGTCCACGCCGGGCTGGCCTGCGGCTGGTGGACCTGTGTGGTGCTGTTGGACCTTCGAAGGTTGTTGATGGCCCGGGAGCCCCCGGGCCCCGCGGCCTCCTGCAGAGAGGAAAGCCCTGAGCGCGGCCGAAGGTGCGACACCCCCATTCACACGGCGCCGGGCCAGGCCTTGCAGAAGATGTGGCGGGAGGAGGTGGGTGTGGCGAGAAGGGGGACGGGAGGAGCAGCCTGGGCGTCCTGGGCCTCCATGGGCCTCCCCTTCCTGGAGGGAGGTGGGAGCCCCTCGCCCCCGGCTGGTGGAGGGTCCAAGAGGCAGCGCAAGAGGCCCAGCCGGGAACCGCAGCAAAGGCTGTGTGTCCTCAGTGCTGTCCACTAACGAGGGAGCCTGGCCACCGCAGACCACTGCTGCCTGCGGCCGGTTCCTCCGGGGCCGCCAGGGGCTCAGCCCTCCCCCACAGGCCAACCCATTTTGGATCCAGACAAATCCGAACAGTGGTGGAGCAGGCGGGACAGAGGGTGTGACGCTGGCAGGGTCCAGGCTCTGCCCTGCCCTCCTGTGAGTTAGCTCCCCGGTCCTTCCTGACCCCAGGACGGCTGGACAGGGCCACAGGGCTGGGCAGGATGATGGCTGTGAGGGGCCTGCTGAGGGGCGGAGCTTACCCAGGAGTCAGATGCCAACCTGCCAGCAACTCCCCAGGAGGTGGGGGGCCCAGACCCGCCCCCCCCGCCCTGGGCTCCAGCACTCACCAGCGCCTTTCTCCTCGGCTCACTGCCCGCCACCACGGAGACGGAGCGGGCGATGGGCTTCGCGGCGGAGGCACTGTTGGGGCGCCGGAACAGGGGCGGAGGGAGGCCGGTCAGACTCAGGTCCATGCACTCGGGGGGGCCAGAGGGGCCGCTGACGGCCCGGGAGCCTTTCATGATGGACGAGTGGGCCCTGAGCAGGCAGGAGGAGATGCAATGAGCTGTCCTCCGAGGAACCAGGTCCCCCACACGCTGCCTCTAGCTGGAACTCGGGAAGCCCAGGGCGCCAGGCCTGCTGCCACCAAGTTCCCTGGGAAGCCTGCGGTCTCCTCATCCCCAAACAGAGCATGTGACAGAGTAGGGTTCCGAGCCATGAACAGCGAAGACGGGGCCTCCTGAGGGGCCCTACCGGAGGGTGCCCTGGGCAGCAGGCAGTCCTGGTTGTGCACCAGCTGTCACCTACTCCCCACCCTCAGACGGGTACGGCACCTGTCTGAGCCTCGCTTTTTTCATCTGTAAAATGGGCGTTTAACACGTGCCTCTTTACGGCTGGCAGGACGGTCAGATGAGACAGCTGCAGGCTGGCATGCAGTGTGGCATTCTAACCAGGACTCGGTCTGATTGACGCTGCCCAACCTGGGGTCCCCAAACTTGTCTGGCCACGGGACTCCTCCATTTCCTTGGAACCCAGGGAATATCTCTGAGCTGCCAGACCGTGGCATCTGCTCTCTCGCTCCTGGGATCCCCTCCTGCCCCTCCTAGTGCCGGCCACCCTTCGTGGTCCCCCTTGCTGGCCCTTCTCGTCCCCACCCCTGAAGTCTGAGGGCTCCAAGGCTCAGCCCCGGGCCTCCATCCTCCATCCGCTCTCTCGCCGGGGGGCTGCCTGCGGTCTCCTTCCTTACAAACAGGGGCCCACGGTCCCCAAACGCGTGCCACCTGCCCCCTCTGTCCTCTACCTCCCGACTCAGGTGCCCACCCCCACCCCTGGCACCTCAGACCCAAGGAGGCCAAATGGACTCCTGACTTCACCTCCAACTGGCCCCTGCCACCAGCGGGCATTTTCTGTAACCGGCTCAAGCCAACGCCTGGTCCCACCCTGACATCTCCCCTTCACCTCCACACCTGCTCCCTCAGCAGCCCAGTCGGTGCCCTCTCCCCGTCCAGCCCCTCCGGCCACAAGCCCAGTCCGAGTCCCATCTCCTCAAACCTGGACAATGGCAGCACCCCCCCCACACACACACACAGGGCAGACCTTTCCGACTGGGTCTCAGATCACCCTGTGGCCCATCCGAGGGTCCCCAGGGATGGAGGACAGAGTCCAAATGCCAAACGCCCCTCAGAGCTGACCCTGCTCTCTTGGTGGCCTCCTCGCTGCCACCCTCTGCCCCTCGGCCTGCTTCTAGGGTGAGCCTCGAGCCTGCTGGCCCCTTCCCCGGGAGGTCACGAGGGGCCCTGCTCTCAGAGCCGCTCATCCCGACTACTCTTCGCTCCCTCATCCTCCTTTAGTTTTCCTCACTGGTCACCTGGCCACCTGGCCACACAGGTGAGTCTGTGCACTGCCCAATCCTCTCGTGAGAGCAGAGGCTCTGTGAGGACAAGGCTCATGTGGCGCCGGCACCTGGCACGCGGCAGACCCTCAGGTAATGCAGGGGACGAGCGGACCAGGACTGACCACAAAGGAGTGAGCGCAGCCCTCCCTGCCACCGAGGACTCTGGGCCCATGGTCACCCACAGGTCAGCGCTGTGGCCTCCTCCAGCCGGACACCCACAGCAGGGCCGCCTGGCCAGGGGATGGACGCCCCTGTTCTCCAGAGCTGCGCGCAGAGGCTGTCCCTGCCATTCCCCAGGCCACTGTCCTCAGCCATGAGTTTCCGGTTGTGTGGGTGAAATTTAACGCCCCCTCGCCCCTGGGCGCCGGCCACTCCTGCCGGACCCAGGCTGGCCCCCGCTCCCAGCCACGCCGCAGCAGCGACGGCAAACACAGCCTCTCCGTGGAAACCCCCAGGCCAGACCTCACCTTGCACACAGAGGTGTCCCTTCCGGGACCTGAGGTGGGTGTGCAGGGCCTCTGCCTGGCCCCTTCGGGTGGGCGGACCCCGGACCCTGCCAGCTTCTCGCGGGCAGCCCCCATCGCTGTGGGGTTTGGCCGGGGTGGTGGGCCTGAGCCTGCCGACTCGGCTCCACCTCGCCCTCGCGGGAAGGCCGGAAGCGGTAATGGGCTCTGGGGCATGAGCCCCCCTCACCTGTGCGGGGCCCCTCACCTGCGCATTGCCCCTCACCTGCAC